GATAAAGAAAAATCTCTAATCAAGCAACGAAAACTAAAACAATAGCAAAAGCCCAAAATCTAATATCCCACTAAACTATTTTTTTGCCAGCCTCATTTTTTTTTTTTTTTACTCTACTGTAGTTACTTTAGAGCCCTGACATTATGTATTACAGATAATAGAACAGAACCACCGTCTCTTATTTGAGATAGAATCTCACCAAGATATTTAGAGTTTGAAGTATTTAGGCCTACTATAACGAACTTCCTTTTAAAGCAGTACCCAATCAAAAGCTTGATGTGTAGCACAATATACCTCAAGGAAAGAGACTCAAACCTTTTTTATAATATAATCTTTCTGGTAACAATAACTTTATTAATAGTCAATACTCATTGCAAGTTTGCTGAGCCAAAGTAAGAGCTTTTACATTTAATCTTCCTCACAGCCGCATTATGATCCACACTATACAGATGAGGAAAGTGAGACTTAGGTTATGTACCTGGTCCATGGTCACACAACTATGATTACTGTGACACTGCCTCGTTATCCAAAGATTGCCCAAGTGGAATTACTGAAAGTCTCTGAACTGAAAATAATACTGAAGAACCATCTCAGTTTCCTGCCCGTCAGGAATCTTACTAAATTGAAGGTGTAGAAGCTCAACAAAACACATTAATCCAGTAAGGCCCTAAGATCTATTATAAATCACTAGGTAATGATTTTGGATTCCTGCTCCAAGGGTAAAATAAATTGAACTTCAATTAGAACCTTAAAATAACACTAGACTATGTTTTAGGATCAATCACTAAAAACCAATGGTTTTAACAAAACCACTGGTCCACAATCTTGGTTCCCATGGGGCTCCTTCATTCATTCTTTCCAGACAAGTCTATGTGTCTTGCTTTTCATTCTCTCAGACTGTTTCCTTTGTCCAGAATGCCCTGCTCCTTTAACATCCCCTCACCCACTAAAAACCGAATGCTTCTCTCATTCTTACACATGATATATATCCTTCTCAATATCTAACTTAAATGCTTTGTATCAGAGATTTTCCAAGTTGTGTACCTCTGAACTCTAGAACTAAAGAAATGAATTCTGTAGATAAACAAGTTTGCAAAACGCTCTATTATTAAAATATCAATTATAGAACTTCTTGGAGCTATTAATATGTTAAGGTATACTAAGAATTCCCACGAGACAATAATAAACTGCTTTTCCCAAGCTTAACTGACCTCAAGCATTCCTCCACCTCCCTCCTATTAAATCTTCCTCTGAAACTTAGGACATAATTTGGAAAACAAATTGGGAAAAACTTCAGATAGACTGAGAAACCTATTTCAAGAAAAGGTGCCTGAAACAGGGCCTACTCAAAGTTCTTTTCTGAAATCTATTACGCTACAGTTTAATATAATTCCAATAATAAAATAAATACCTTTTCTACTCCTCTGAGAAATTTGTCTGTTCCTGTATAGTTTCTCCTTGGATCTGTGAGCAATTCACATAGTCGCTGAATAGTAAAAGGTATACTGCAAAAGAATATAGTTTTATAGTTTGGGGTCATTAATTATTAAGAAAATTAGGAACATTATTACTCCTGCTATTTCAAGCTTTATCTAGTCACCCCTGTGTTAAGCTACAAAAGAAAATGCTACAAATGAATGGATGAGTCACTTAAAAACAGGCAGGGCAATAAGCACACCTGTCCTCTTATTTAAAAAGAAAACAATGTTCCCTCCCTTGCCTTAAAAAGCAATAAAGAACATTCAAAATTAACGGAAAGCTTCAAAACTGAGAAAAAATTTTAACATTCTTAATTCTGACAATTCAATTTTAAGTTTACAAGAGAGGCAACACAAATAATAATCAAGTCAGAGTTTATTTAAATACAGAAACTTTCTCAAGTATTCTTTTGCACACAAAGATTTTTTTAGTGTTCAAATAAAACTACAAATGTTTTGTTATCAGACAGAATAAGACAAGTGATTCCAATGAAAAAGTATTATAAACATAGTTATGCTCCATAATTAAAATTTTATGTACAACCTACATGTTTCATCAAACTTGAAATACATACAAATACACTCAATATTTTGGTAGGTACCTTACTGTTTGACAAATACTTCAACCACAATCAAATTTTCACTTGACCACAGAAAATACAAAACTGAAACATAAACTGGACCTAAAATCATGTTATAAACAGCAGTGTTTATCTCACACACTATTAGCATTCCTGAGTGTTACAATATGAACAGCAAACATGTGAGCAGAGAGATGACAAATGCAGCTAAAAAGTGTAAACGTAAACTTTAGACTTCAGTTATTTGCCACACAAATCTATTTATTCTCCTTATAAAGACAATTACAAAGCCTCAGATTAACAGTTATTACCCACAAAGTTATTTCTTGTTGACAGGCAGATCAACACAAAATTCCCTCCCACCCACAAAATAAGGCCACTAGTGATTAATACCGCAGGACTCAAAAACCTAGTCTAACTTCAAATCCCATGTTGTCCCTTCCACTACACTGCACATACGTAAAATCGTAAATGTTTATTTTCTAGTTGGACAAACAATGTTTAGTTCTCGTATTCTTAGCATCAACACTATTCTTATGTTCTTTTAAAAATTCAAAAACAAAATTCAATATATGACCTATGACAAATTTTGAAAACGTTTAAAATAAATATTATTCATATGAAAACAAGTATTTTAGTTATGCGAGAGACCAAGTATCAATCTTCTCTCAAGTCGTATATCAAAGCCTAAAAGTCAGAAAACTATCATTCTGCCAAAAGATTGGGCACTAAGAGGCGAAACATTTGTCTCATTATCACAAATATTCAGAGGCAGACAGAAATACAGGACAACTTCTGATATTCATCAAGACTGCTACAGGAAAGTTCTTTGGTTTCTGAGAAAAAGTAATGTTTTTTTCTTCTTAAAATTCATAGTAGAGTACACTGTCAAAACTAAATATCTTTGTTTTTCCAAACTGTCTTTCTTCATATTTGACTGAAAGCTTCTTAAGGGCAGGATATCTTCACATACAAGATAGTCAATATATAATTTATTTATATACATATATATCTGAAATGCAGTACCATCATGGATTTCAGAATATTACTGGTATACCTGTACCTTAGCCCCTCTTTGAGTTCACTACCTTCCAAATCCTAAACACACACACACTTCCAAATGCTATTCCCTCACTAATGACGTCAGAGTGATACTAAAAAGGAGTTTTTACCCATTTTTCAAAAACTAGCAAAATAGCACCCAGTGTTAAGAACATTCGAACACTATTTAACCAGCAAATACTTAAACAGACATTGTCTAGTTAGGTCTATTCCTCCAACTAAATTTCTTTCACACACTGATACTAGTACTTTCTTTTAAAATTAACTTTAAAAGATGAGCATCTTCCAACTCCCTGCTTAACAATGTTTTTACACTAAATGTTTTGGCTAATTTTCTCTAGGAAGGTAGGTAAAATGTTAGTCAATTATTAACACTGTATGCGTGGGTGAATATTAATACTGCTTTATGAGGAAAAATGTATTATGTTTGCATAACGATGTCAGCCTATGACAAAATGAGTTTACATTCTTAGACACTTTCAGAAGCTTTTGAAGTCATTTTACCAACTGTCCAATAGATGGCACTAAAATGTTACACAACTCTCCCTCAAGTGAACAGGCTTAAAATACAAACATTTCTTGTAAATCCAAGTATCCACTGGAAACAATATTATAATTCTGACAACTGCACTGAAGGTCTCTTCATAAAGTTTGTACTTTTTAACCTTTTAAGTAAACATGAGAGCCAACTATGAAGCAGAAATATTAACATATACTCAATAGCAGACCCGATAGACACGTAATGTAAACAATTACAATTAAAAACAACCCAATTACAACAAGAAATGCTAATAAAATCGCGTATACAGTGCTACGGAGACAGAATAAACTGCCAGGGAATCGAGGATAAACGTGGGAACACTTAATTTAAGGTGCGTCTTTAAAAGGAGGTATAAGAATAAACCAGATAAATCCCCAATGAACACCTGGTACAACTATATGAAAGTTCTGCTTTCTGTTACTCTTCCATTACACATAAGCACACAAGATAGTTTATTCTAACTTTGGAAAATATACCAAGAAAGCTGCTGAACATCGGAGAAAGACATCTAAGCTCAAATTAGAAATTTTAAACACTAACACTAAGCCCTAAAGAGAGAATTTCCTATCCTGTATTTTAACTTGAGAAAGACTCTAAGTAACTAAAATTTATGTTTTGTTTCTAATTTATCTTAGTCTGTTTAAAGGTTTGATCATCAAGATGTGCCAATATTCTGGATATATACCAAGGTATTAAGAAGGCATCCAAAAAGAAGAAATGCACATTTCAGTCAGAGTCTAAGATTTTAAAAATCAGACAACCTATATCTTGCCTCTATGTCATTATATAAGCAACGTTCCTCATAAAAAAAGATAAAGGAGTATAAAACACAGAGGCCATTAAAGTAAAAGGCTAAAGAGATAACCACAAAACCAGACATCCTATTTAAAAACTGCTAAAACAACCAATCACTTCTGTTTTATGCATAAAGGTGATTTTTACCACATCTTTATTTTCTATTAATGACCACATTTATACTGTGTCTTAGTTAACAGAATTACTCGTTTGACCTCAACTATTTAAGTAGAAATTAACTTATATATCTCTTAGATATCAAAGGTTAAATGGGTTAAGTTTTGTTTACTCTTAAGTCCTATAGAAGTCAGAAATCACCACTGGAATCTTGTGATATTATCTGACCTGAAACAATATGCTCTTTCTGGATCAGGATTTATTTAACATCTGTATAAATATACACAACATAAATATTCATTTGCATATATTTTACAACTCAAATCAAATGTTAGTAATTGAGATTTATTGAAAACAGCACTGCAAAATGGCAAGTATAGAAAATTAAGAAAATGAAGAATTAGCCTCTTACAATAATGGTAAGTAACCATAAACTAGTATCTATACCATTCCCCATTAAAAAACAAATCTATAGCAATTGTCAACACTTTTAATCAAGTTTACCATCTTCTACAGTGCCTGAATTACTTTACTTGCCTCAAATAAAAATGTTAAGAAAAATTAATTAGGTTTCTGCTATTTCCTCTCTTTTTTTTTAATACAGCAGGTTTATTTCCTTTCAATTATAAAATTTTATTAGAGAGAGCATCATAGCAAACCCTATTACCACCAGACAAGGTAAGGCAGGAAGGAGAATAAGGAGGGAAGGTTACTAAATAATTCTGATTCTCAACTAGTTATGCTAAGAAAGGGAGTAAAGAAAAAGAAATAAACAAATTTCAGCTAAAGGATTCAATATGCTCAACAAATACTGGCACAAATAACTAATAAAAAATGCAATAATTCTATTTTTCTCAACAGAGGAGCAGAAATTCCAGCAAGCAATAAAATAGGTAAAAGGAGTAAAAGAACAAAGTAACAAAAGGCTGGAACCCATTCTTTCATCCCTGAATAATCTGAGCTAACTGTAAAGCAAACAATACAAAATCAAAAAAGGAGTAAATGTTTTGTATCTACAATCTAGATTTTGAAGTATTAAAAACCTTGTATATGAACCTTTAAGAAAAAAAAGTATGAAGAGGCAAACTCTCAGGTGCAGAAACTTACAAGATATCTCCGTTTGTGTGCACATGCATATAAAACAATCACGTGAAAGTTTTCAGGACTAAGCAAAATCTAGTTAATTATGTACATTAAAATAACTTTAGAAGACCCACACGTAGAGAATGGACTTGAGGACACGGGGAGGGGGAAGGATAAGCTGGGACTAAGTGAGAGAGTGGCATGGACACATATACACTACCAAATGTAAAACAGCTAGTGGGAAGCAGCCGCATAGCACAGGGAGATCAGCTCAGTGTTTTGTGACCACCTAGAGGGGTGGGATAGGGAGGGTGGGAGGGAGACACAAGAGGGAGGAGATATGGGGATATATGTATATGTATAGCTGATTTACTTTGCTATAAAGCAGAAACTAACGCACCATTGTAAAGCAACTGTACTTCAATAAAGATGTTAAAAAAATTTTTTTAATAAAATAACTTTAGAGAAGAAATTCTATAGTCAGACTATAATCATGCCAAAAGATATGCACTGGACGCCTTAGAGATGATGTAACAAAGATTTTTAGGTATCAAGCAGTTGTGCAGTGTGCCTAGAACCCCTCATAAATACATAGCCATGCTGTTTTAGTCAACTACCCATAGTAAGTGAAACTTACTGCTTATTTTAGAGAGGTCTTAGCTCTAACAGACTGTCAAAGGTGGAGGAAGACTTAAGTAATTAATTTACATTCATTATTCTTCCATTTCAATAATTAGGATTTAAAATAATCTTTTAAAAACTACTAGGAATGTAAGTTATTCTCTACCTCTCGAAATCTCTCTTTGGGTACCATTATAGGAATGAACTACTAGCTACAAGCAATTTCTAAATTATATTCATGGCATCTAAGATAGGAAGAGAATTTTCATAAATGGCCTCAGTTTGAGTAAGCCTACATATACTCTTGTTGATTATAAACCCACATAGAGGGCATAAAATGGCAACTGTCGGGCTTCCCTGGTGGCGCAGTGGTTGAGAGTCCCCCTGCCGATGCAGGGGACACGTGTTCGTGCCGCAGTCCAGGAGGATCCCACATGCCGCGGAGCGGCTGGGCCTGTGAGCCATGGCCACTGAGCCTGCGCGTCAGGAGCCTGTGCTCCGCAACAGGAGAGGCCACAACAGTGAGAGGCCCGCCTACCACAGGGGAAAAAAAAAAAAAAAAAAAAAAAGGCAACTGTCTTTTAACCGACCATTCATTGAAGTTTCTAATTTCGTTAATTTTTAATTTTTGGTGTTTCTCACCTAAGAAACTGTAACTTCAGTTCTGGAGAGTAGCTATAATCCATCTTCCCCTATAAAATTTTAAAGTTCAAAAGTAATTTTAAAAGGACAAGAAAATATGACTAAAAAATTTTTTTAAAGAACTTTAAGCATTCAACTATGTAATTCTATCTACCCTGCCCCATTAAACAAAATACAGATACAGAAACATGCTTTTATTCCTTTCACTCACTCATTCCATACCTGTTTGTTTGAAAACCTACTATGTTCAGGCATTCACTGTGCTAGGCCTTATATGGAAAAGATAGTCCTCCCTGGTGTCCAGAATCTTACAGTTCAGGAAGTCAAGCAAACAAGTGAATGGACAATTTCCGCTTCAAAGAGGGAAAATTTATATACTGACAATACTGATTTTAGAAAACAGTTAATCTTTTCGTGCCAATATATATATTTTAAGATATACGCACCCTGCGGCACATGGGATCTTAGTTCCCTGACCAGGGATTGAACCTGTGCACCCTGCAGTGGGAGCATGGAGTCTTAACCACTGGACCGCGAGGGAAGTCCCCATGCCAAAATATATTGAAGCATTTAACACAGAGCTTTCACTAATTAAAAGCAAAAAACAAAAACAACAAAATGAAGTTACCAATAAGAAAATCACCAAAAGATTAAAAAAACCAAAAAAAGACATATGAAACCACAATTCATAAAAGAGTCATTAAGGACATGGATGTTCAATTTCACTTGCAGTCAGAGACACAAATTCACGTACATACCCACAAAAATACTGAAGAAATAAACTATCTGCATTTATATAAACATAGAAGCATAAATGAAAACATTTTGTGAGGTGAATTTGGCAATATTAATAAAAATTTTAAGTGTGCATACACCATGACCTAGCAACTCCTTTTCTACAAATTAAAAAAAAAGCAACAATAAATCTATACATATATTCAACATATGACATTCATCGACACAAAAACGTATTTACAAGGAGGCTCACTACAAGCACTACTTGTAACAGCCAAAAAAATAAATGCCCATCACCAGTGGGAACAGAGAAAATGAACTATATAATCTGTTCATGTAACAGAAAACAATGCTGCTATTTCAAATAAACAGACAAATAGAAGACACAGCTGTAAATGTACTGATATAAAGAAGATTTCAAAGCTCTTCTAAAAGTAAAATAAAACTGGCATATAACATGTTCCTATTTTCTTTATATATTCCTAGGGCGACTGGGGATCTTTTTATAACTATGAACATACTTATGTCACTTTTATAATTTAAAAGATGATCTATTACAAATAGCAGGAGAGGCATACCGGCAAGGACATACTCTCAAACTAGCTAAAAAAGAACAAAATGCTACTTCTACCCACCACTCTTAGCAAAAAATTTTTTAAAAGCAACAGCTTGTCTATGTCTATTCAAACACAAAAGTAAAATTGAAAAATATTACAGACATGTTTTTATGTACCATGTACCAATATAGTATGATACAGACAAAAATGGCTGAAATGAAAAATATTAATGTATCACTGATTAACACTTGAACTCTGAACTTCCCTGGTGGTCCAGTGGTTAAGACTCAATACTTCCACTGCAGGGGGCACAGGTTCAATCCCTAGTCAGGGAAGTTCCACATGCCACATCGTGTGGCCAAAAAATAAAATTAAAAAAAAAAAAAAAGACTTGGATTCTGCCTGATTAAGAAAAATAATTCGTAAACCACCTTTCTGAAAAATCAGAGAAAAAAACATAAATTCAAAGTATTTATGGTTCAAAGATGAAAAATATTTTAAAAGTAATTATATTTATGTATGCTTAGGCATTTAATGACTGTTCAAGTCATTTTCTGAGGTAGGTCGACTACCTATTTAGCAAATTAAGACATTACAAATATTTAGATTAATTTAATACCTACATATATGTATTTCATCCAATTTAATTTGAAAGAATTGAAAATGGTATTACTAAATTCAGAATCACAAGTAGCTTCACATTCACAAAGCAGTGGTATAACTTAACCTGTTTGACCATAACTCGTAATTTTAAATGAGAGCCATAACTTATTGAAGTAAAAGATGAGTTACCATAATGTCTAAGTACTATCTAACTACCTCTGCACTATTTATAAACACCCCCAAGAAGTATTCTTAACCACATTCAATTCAACAGTAAATCTTACGTATACTTCTAATACATTGCATGTCTTCATCTTGGCATGTGCTTTAAAAAAAAATCAGTATTGGTAAGTAAATATATACATACAGTTAAAATAATTGTCAACAGTACAATAGGGTACACAGTGAAAATAAAGTCTCCCTCCAATCCCAAACCCCCAAGAGCAGCTCAATGATAAAGCTTTAATTTCTCCCAAAAGAGAAGTATTTTGGCAACATACTTAAAACCAAAGCTTAAGAATTTGATATTTTAAGCCAAACTGCTAAGCAGGAGAACATAGCATATAATAAAGGGTTAGGTGATTACACTATCTTGTTGCAAATCCCATGTGATTAAGTAACTGAAGAAAAAAATGAGACCATTTATGCTACCTAAAACTACTCACAAATGAAATGTGATCAAATAAAAACTGCCCCTAAATATGAATTCATGGTTAACATACCCACAATTCATTAAATTAGGTATTGTCATTCCACACTCCAAATTGTTAATGCCAATTTAAATACGGAACAATTCGTGCTTCCCTGGTGGTGCAGTGGCTAAGAATCCACCTGCCAGTGCGGGGGCGGGGGGACACGGGTTGGATCCCTGGTCGGGGAGGATCCCGCATGCCACGGAGCAGCTGAGCCCGTGCGCTACAACTGAGCCTGCAAGCCACAGCTGCCGGGCCTGCGTGCCTGGAGCCTGTGCTCCGCGGCGGGAGAGGCCACCACGGGGCGCCCCCCTACGCTCCACGGCAGGTGAGTGGCCCCTGCTCGCTGCAGCTGGTTGGGGTGGGGGGAGCACAGCAGCAGGGATCCAACGCAGCCAAAAATAAAAATAAATTAATTAAATACTGAACAATTCAACTTAACAAATACTTCTTCCCTTCAATAAAGGGAACCCTAAAAATACAAAGTCCTGAAAAGGAAGTATTTAAAATAACACAGAGTATGACACACAATTTAAAGGTCAACTTCATTTTAGTGGAGAGTAACTTTTCAGTACAATGTTTTACAAAGGGCTGAAAATGGTTACTTACTGGAGGGAAAAGAGGGACTCTAAAAAAATGTTTTAAAATAAAAAATCACTAAGTAGAATCTTTTCATAAACCGTTGCTTTTCATTTTAAAAGAAATGTTACTTATTTCAGTGATAGGTTCTAGACAAAGTATAAGGATTTATAATATCAAATATAAAACAGAAAGAAAAAATTTTAAAATATTTGATTAATGTTTCCACTGTCTTACACATTTAAAGTCTAAATGCCACTGACCCATATAAACGTGGTTCAAGTTTTTTTTAAAAAAAGCTGTCAATATTTTAAATACTTGTAAGCTGGAAATCAATAACTACTATATAGATTACAAGACACAGAACTTGTTCTAATGGATAATCAGTTATCAACCAGACACATCAAAACTTAAGAGAAAAAATCTGATGTTCTCCTAAAAATTAAACCTAAATTAAGTAGAATTAAATGCATACCCATTAAATCCAGTGACAATTTTCAGTATCCTTTCCTTCATTTCATCAAAGGGAATATATTCGACATTAGGGTTGGGAGGACCTCTTGGTTCAGGAGCTGAAGTTCTGAAATCATCCATCACTTTCTCCAGTTTGAAAATAAAATAGCCTTTAAACTGGGACCACTGAATCCTATAAGCAAAAAATTAAAAAAATATATAATACCATGTAGGGTCACAATTCTTGAAAAAAAGCACAAATACAAAATTTACCATGACACTAATGCTAACAAAATTAAGATCTGGAAAAGTAGTCGTGAAAATGTCTTCGTTCAGTAGTCTGCACCAAGCCTGATCAATCTGACTCACAAGGTCAACTGGGTTCCATCCAATTCTCCCAAACTCCTGACCCAAACAAAACCTAAATCAGATTAAAATCTTTAAAATTAACTACTTCTGGCTGAAAGCTTATTGTCTAAGTCCCCCTCTCCACATTTTTAAAACATTATCTTGTTCTGACTCTATCTATCCCTCATAACAAACCTAACCCAGGAGGTGTTACTGCCCCCATTTAAAAGCGGCTATTGGAAATTGGCCCAACCTTACATTTATAAATTTAAGTGGACAAATGACTCCATACCCTAAGCTCTTAACATCCAAGGTATAATGCTTATATAGACTAGTAAATGTTTCTTGTTTTTTATCTCTTAAATAGCAAAATAAACTTCAATTTCTCCTTTTTCTTTTGCTTTCAACAAAACTTTTTAGTATTTTGTCATTTAAAAGGTATATATCATAGGTTCTATCCAAGATGTAGCCTGCAATGTAAAAAAATACATAATATCCTTGTGTAATCTTCACATCTGTTCATGAACTTTTAATATAAACATCCTTTTACCCCTGCTCCCTCACATTTTACCACTAATATAAGGATATTTTGTGATACCTGCCTAAATAGCCTAAAGTCTAGGAGATGCAAGAGTCAGGAATGCCAACCATTCCTCCAAACACTATAACCATTACTGGCAGCAGATAGATCTCTTACACAGGAGATGACTTAAGCGAGACAAGACTGCTAGTCTGCAACCACTCTTCCATCCCATCCAGCAACCCTACAAATTAAGGCAGCAGTTCTCAAAGCGAGGCCCAAGAGGTCAAAGCTATTTTCATAAGAATAGAGTTGACTTTTTCACTGAGTTGACATTTGCAATGACAGGAGGTGCAAAAGCAGCAGTGGGTAAAATGGACAACACTTAAGCACAAATCAAGGCAGCAGTACCCAACCATACTAGAAGTAGTCGTTACCTTCTTTATCACCAGACTCACAGTTTAAAACAAAACAAAAAAACCTGTTTCACTGGAAAGTTTAATAAAACAAATTTACTAACTTAATTAAATCTGAACCTTTGAAAACACACACACCTTTTTAATATCCCATGTAACAAGATAAGAAGTATACATAAAGGACTTCTGTTGCATAACAAAACATTATGGACATCTCAAGTCACAAAAAGTTAAATACTGCTGCCGGTTGAATGAAAGCCATTTTTACTTGAAAGGAATGTCAAACAAACAATGCTTATTCAGACCAAGAGAAATTGCTAGACATCACCTCAAAAATGAACATGTGAGTCTATCACTTGAAGAAAATCAACTGCAATACTGGTGGCCACTGATAAAATTTCAACTTCAAAATAAAAAATGTAAAATCTAGAAAATGTTTGTTCTTCACTGTGAGCTTCAAAGGTTCCTGATACATTCCCAAGACATTTCAAAACCTACCACTGTTGATATAAAAAATATTGTGACACACCCCGCCCCAAAGTACAAGCAACAAGAGAAATAAATTGAGCTGTATCAAAGGCAAAAAGCTGTGTATCAAAGGACACTATCAGCAAAGAGTGAAAAGGCAACCCACAGAATGGGAGCAACTATTTGCAAATCATCTATCTGATAAGGTTTTAATATCCAGGACATATAAAGAACTCCCACAACTCAGCACCAAATAAACAGACAACTCTATTTTAAAAACGGGCAGGGGGCTTCCCTGGTGGCACAGTGGTTGAGAGTCCGCCTGCCGATGCAGGGGACACGGGTTCGTGGCCCCGGTCCGGGAAGATCCCACATGCCGCGGAGAGGCTGGGCCCGTGAGCCATGGCCGCTGAGCCTGCGCGTCCGGAGCCTGTGCTCCGCAACAGGAGAGGCCACAACAGTGAGAGGCCCGCGTACCGCAAAAAAAAAACACAAAAAAACAAAAAAAAACAAAAACAAACAAACAAACAAAAAAACGGGCAGGGCTTGCCTGGTGGCACAGTGGTTAAGGATCCGTCTGCCAATGCAGGGGACACGGGTTCGAGCCCTGGTCTGGTAAGATCCCACATGCCACGGAGCAACTAAAGCCATGCGCCGCAACTACTGAACCCATTTGCCACAACTGACACATCTGCACACCTAGAGCCTGTGCTCTGCAACAAGAGAAGCGACCGCAATGAGAAGCCCACGCACCGCAATGAAGAGTAGCCCCCGGTCGCCGCAACTAGAGAAAGCCCGCGCGCTGCAACGAAGAACCAACGCAACCAAAAATAAATAAATAAAAAGTAAATGTGCATGAATAAGCATTTCTTTAAAGATACAGAAATGGCCAAAAAGCAAATAGAAAGATGCTCAACGTAACTATTCAGGGAAATGAATATCAAAAATCACAGTAAGACAGAACTCCACATCCATCAGATTGATCGTTATCCAAAAAAACAAACCAACCAACCCCACACAAAAAAAATAACAACGACTGCCTGGCAAGTATGTAGAGAAACTGAAACCCATGTGAATTGCTTGTGGGAATGTAAAATGGTGGGGTCCCTGTGGAAAATAGCATGCCAGTTCCTCAAAAAAATCAAAGAATTACCATATTATCCAACAATTCCATTTCTGGACATCCAAAAGAGGTGAAAACAGAACCTCAATCACATGAAACTCACTTATACACAATGGCAGAAACTACCCAAGTGTCCCGCAACAAATGAAGAGATAACCAAAATGTGGTATATACAATAGGATATAGCCTTAAAGAAGAAGAAAATTCTGACACATACTAAAACAATGATTAATCTTGAACACATTATGCTAAGTGAGATAAACCAGACACAAAAGAACAAGTATTCTGATTCTACTTTTCAAAGGTATCCAGAATAGTCAAATTCAAAGAGACAGCAGAAAGGCATATGACAGGGTCTTGAAGAAGGGATGGGTGAGATGTTACTGTTTAAAGGGGTACATAATTACAGAAGATCAATAAATGGCCAGTAAGCACATGAAAAGATGCTTGACATTATTAGTCATTAAGGAAATGCACATCAAAACCACACGACACCATTTCACACCCACTAAAGTTGTTATAGTAAAAATGACAGACAGTGCTCGCTTCAGCAGCACATATACTAAAACTGGAGCGATACAGAACAGGATTAGCATGGCCCCTGTGCAAGGATGACATGCGAATTCGTGAAGCATTCCATATTTTTCGTGGATGGACCTAGAGACTGCCATACAGAGTGAAATAAGTCAGAAAGAGAAAAACAAATATCGTATATTAACGCATGTATGTGGAATCTAGAAAAATGGTACAGATAAACCGGTTTGCAAAGCAGAAACAGAGACACAGATGTAGAGAACAAATGTACTGACACCAAGGGGGGGAAGTGGGGCGGGGGGGGATGAACTGGGAGATTGGGATTGACATATATACACCAACATGCACAAAATAGATAACTAATAACCTGGTGTATTAAAAAATGAAATACAAAACTACAGGGTTTTTTTCTGATTATAAAAGTAATAAAGCTCATTGTAGATACGTCAAGCAAAACAGGAAAAATATAAAATCATCTGCAATCTCACCTCAACATGACCATCAATAATAATATTAAGATCCTCCAGAGAGTATTTATGAATTTTCATATGCACTACTTCTTTCATTTTATGTAAATGAAGTTTGAATTATGTACTTTTTTCCACTCAACAATGTGTCGTTCACATTTCCATTTTCGAAATATGCTAACTTTCGTTATTCTAATGGCTCAGTCCACTGAATAGATGTATGACAATCTCTTACTGACATATATATATGTGTGTGGGCGTGTATTTCGTTTATCTTTCACAATTAATGAACTAAAACCTATATTCTGGTAAACGTTCTTGTGCATACCAATTTATATTACCAATAAAGGTATATGCAAATACTTCTAAAAAGAAAATGATGGACAATAAACAAGTGTTGGGGGACTTCCCTGGTGGCGCAGTGGTTAAGAATCCGCCTGCCAATGCAGGGGACACGGGTTCGATCCCTGGTCCGGGAAGATCCCACATGCCGCGGAGCAACTAAGACCGTGAACCACAACTACTGAGTCTGCGCTCTAGAGCACGTGAATCACAACTACTGAGTCTGCGCTCTAGAGCACGTGAGCCACAACTACTGAGCCCAAGCACTACAACTACCGAAGCCCACACGCCTAGAGCCCAAGCTCCGCAACAAGCGAAGCCACCGCAATGAGAAGCCCGCGCACCGCAACAAATAGTAGCCCCCGCTCGCCAAAACTGGAGAAAGCCCACGCACAGCAATGAAGACCCAACGCAGCCAAAAATAAGTAAATAAATAATAAATTAAAAAACAAACAAGTGTTGGGAAGGATGCAGGGCAACTGTTGACGGGAAACGCAAAATGGTGTTGATGGGAATGCAACCTACACATTGTTGATGGATGCAGGGCAATTGTTAATGGGAATGCAAAATGGTGTAGCCTTTTTGGAAAACAGTTTGGCTTGGCAGTTCCTCAAAAAAGAGAGTTGATGTGTGACCTGACAACTTACTCTGTTAAATGAGTGAATTATACGGTAGGTAAATTTTACTACTATTATTTTTAAAATATGGTGAGGGTGATTATCTAAAGCTATCTGCATGACTACGTTTTCCCTCCTTTCCCTAGTCTTCTTTGGGAAGGGGAATTAGAGGTTTAACAAGCAGAGGCAGCATATTATAATCTCTAACATGCCTAATATTAATTTCTGAGTAGTATACAATTGTCAATGGTTACTAAAATTTATCTTTAAATTTCACTAGACTCCCTACAGTCATTTAACTAATACTTAAACACACCAGGGGAGGGTATTGAAATAGGAGTCTTACATTTTTCATTTC